AACAGGAATCAAGACATCCTCCATCTGGATTTGGACAACAATCATTACCGTCATCACTAACATTACAACCAAATATAAATCCGCCCTATAATTTACCATCAGTAGATTATCGTTTCTCAATTAAACAACAAATTCAACAAGAACAACGACAACAACACAAAGTAGTGGATATGTCGAAAATAATGACTGGGCCAAGTATAAGTAATCCAGATTCCATAAATGAAAATGTGATAACTGAAAACTCATCACTACCAAATAATTCATTTGGATATGTCAGTTATTATGGTGCTGAAACAGCAAGATCGAGAAAAGATGATGATCGCTGGTATTCAAAATTAGGAAATATTTGTTGTTTTCCATCGCAAAATTGCAACATAATTTCATATATAAAAGAGCTCAAAAACGTGATGACAAAACCATCATTATACCGTTACGTTTTCATGTTTGTACCATTAAATATCATACATGGGGTAGCTTTTGGTAATTATAATAACATTAGTATATTGAAAGCGTATATCAGTAAGAGTTTAAATATATAAACTTGCTAATTTAATTTTTTTAAAAAATTAGGTATTATATTATTTCCTGCTCATGATCTCTATGACAAGTCATTATTTGGTGCTTATAAATATGTTGGAATGATGATGTTTTTTACGAGGTAGGTTGTATAATAAGTGATCAACTTAATTTATTTATTTATTTATTGGCTAATGATCCTTTTATCAATAAAGTTGTATTATTTCGAAAGTCGTAAATTCAATTTTTGGTAGCCTTCAAGGAGGAAATACAATGATAATACAATGTAAGTATTTTTTAGAAGAAAAAAATTAGAAATCAAATTATTCATAGTTAAATAAGTAATCTTTTCATCTTTTTTTTAAATAATAGTAATACCATTTTTACATTTGATGTAAGTAAATGTTCCAACAACTACTACAATTTTTTTGTATTTTAATTAATAATATTTTTGCTTAAAAAAAAAGAGCGGAAATAATTGAAAATCATGCATCGGCAAACCTATATGTTAAATATGATGTGGTTTACACAATAATATTTGCTTATGCTATAAGTGCCATACTAACTGGTGTTGGACTTTTATTATTTGTAAAATTCAAGGTAATCTATCATTATATACGTTATTTATAATGATATATTAATAACAATCAATATCTAATAAAAAAATTCTAGTTTCGTTTCTTTTTGGATATTTTCCCAAGACACATTTATAACGGAGTACTTGGTGGTATTGGGATTTACTTGATAT